TGAATTAGTGATATGTGTACTGAGTGTGCAGGTATGGACAACTGATTTTTGTCTAATTTTTAGTGTATAGTGTGTATGTGCTTGAATTGGTAATAGGTATGCAAGTGCCTAGACTGGTTTTGATGTGTATGTGCCTGAGCTGGTAGTGTGTGTCAAGGCACTTTGGGGCAGTTATGCTCTCACGGTCATGAAGCCTCCCACTATAAGTTCACATTTTAGGCTGGTTTTAAGGAGGATGTGTTATTGCTGACCCCGATCTGAAGAGCCGAAGAATAAACCGAATGCTATCTATGACTTGCTGAGGAGAATTTATCCATACCTGGCAGACCTAAAGAAACTACAATACCTTATTTTTTTTTAAAGGGCTCTGCTTCCATGACCAAATACTCTGCACAATCTCATAAGCCTGCCGACAAACCAAAAGGAAATATTCTGTCCTGGCAATGTGTCCTCGCAGTGATGAGCCTGAAGTACTCCTTAAGAGTTGGATGGTTGGAAAGACTGATCCTCAGGACTTGTTTGTAGCTCCAGGAAGGGGGATTATTACAGCTGAGAACTATTCTCAATTTTGCACCAATGGAGGAAAAATAGTTGACTTCAAGCCCTTTTGTGGATTAAAAAGTAGCAGAAGTAGAAACCGTTCCACAGGGCTTGAAAAGGAGCTGAAAAACGTTCTATTGGTCACTTGTCTTGGCAGTCCTCAGGAATCTTTGCCGCAAGGGAGAATGCATTGCAAACTGGAGTGCATGGGATCAGAAAGAAGAAGTGGAATAGGAAGAGACAATTGTTCCTAGAACAGTTAGTGGCGGAGACCGTATCCAAATGAAGTACTAGAGGAGATCTGAAGGTTTCGTATCTCACACGGTTCAGAAATTTGACTATGATACAAATCGATATCCCTCACGATGCACCAGCACCAAGAAAATTTTATGATCGTGACATTGAACTTCCCATCTTATGCCAAACAAAGACTTTGTTCAGTCCCCATGCAATTCATGGACTAGAGTTTAAGGGGGACGTTCCTCTCAATGCCATTCATTTTGAGTGGGAGTTAAGCACTTTAACACTGTTGGTGTCATTGAAAAAACTCCTCCTTACATCTCTATGAAAGTATAGCTCATGCGATAAGGGAGACTGCCCTAAAAGTCACGCAAAGGAAAAAAGAATCCTGCAAATGCAACAGAATTTAAAGACAGTTTCCCATCCCTCCAAGCAAACAGAGTTAATAAATCTACTTCAATTTCCCTTGACCCTGATTTAAGCATCCTTTTCCATAAATTCAGATAAATAATTCAACACATGCAGTAGTTAGGCTTCATAAAACATCTCTGACAGAGCATAGCTTGTTAATACTTCCCCTTCCACATGCAGTGATAGTTCAAGGGATCTTCTGAGAGAAATACAGGATTTAACTATAACCATCCCTGTACAATCATCATTTCTATTTCAGAAATACAACTGTTGTGCAGCTAATGCAAGGAACCATTTCAGTAGGATAACTTAAAAACTGAAATGTAGGATAATAATAGATTCAACATCATCCACACAGTCAATTCAGTTTATTCTACACAATTTTGATACTTGTGAAAATAAAAATTACTTTCAGGCACACTGCAGAACTATTTCAGACATAACCATGTTTGAATACAGGAAGTGCCAGTAATATTTACCAACATATTCAGCTTCATTTCCTCCTGTTCAAGATTATTGTTATTTTTTACAAATATTTAAAGAAAATGAACACAGTAATACAATGTACCTTGCATAGTGACAGACCCATTGCTAATTAGCAAACTTTTCATTGCAAGTCAGTAAGTGAACACATGCAATAAGAGCATAATTAATACTAATTTACAGTACTACTGATTCATAAACACACTTTCTTTTATTCGTTCTTTGGGAAGAGCAAGTTAAGCTTAGTTTTGTTTTATTTTGTAATGTTTCCTAGAACTGAAACTATGGAATATTCTATAGCGGTAACAGTCTAATGTAAAAGCTCATTATGGTCTCTGCTACCAACATTTTGCTGAGGTTGAATATTATTCCTTTTTGAATGTTAAGTATAGGACCTGTCCAAACCAGTGAAAGTTATTTGTATTTCAACCGTGTGTAACGGCTCCAGTGAGGAGTGAGACCTTGTACTATGTAATACATGTCTCAGAGCTGCCATCTAAAAATAGGTGTTTACTCTTAACGTCAATAAGACTTTCATGTAAAACATGACTTTCAGGTTTTCACATCATATAATTCTGTGAACACTCCAAAATCCAAACCGTATAGCCACTGTAAACAACGACCACATAAGAAGGATGAGAACAGCTTGGTTAGATCAGCAGACCAGCAAGAACTAATCATGTGTGTTCTGTTGATATATGTTATTTCAAAAAAGGCTCACAATTTGCACCCTTGACTATGATTCTTTAGGTGCTGCTGCAGTTAAACACCCCCCCCCCCCCAAAACAAAAATCAGAAGGCTTACTTAGGCCAGGCACAAACATTCATTTCTAGTGGTGAGTGGAAACTATTTCAAGAGTGGGAGCAGACACACAGTCAGCAACCATGCCTTCTCCCCTGCTTTCTGTGACTTTCCCAGATCAGGGTCTGGGGAAAACATGGGCTATTCCAAGCCTGCCTTCACAGGGGGACCAGAGCAGTGCAGCAAAGCCTTGTGTGTGCTTCTCAAACCAGGAAACTGCAGCATGACAAGGGTTACCAATTTGTTCTTGATCTTCTGAACTGCCTCAGCAAATGTGCAAGTCGGTGATATAAAGTTAACCCTTAGCTATATTGGGTTTACATCTTGTGCAAATTGCTAACTGGTCAGAGAACGATATTAAGCTGAAGCTGACTGAGCTTTCTGCAAGCAACGGTTCCAGTCTTCACTCCCCTGCAGTAGCCAATTACAGCACTCGTATCACTGTTCAGATTCTCTTCAATCCTCTGCAAGTTACAGTCTCCTGAGCCCAAGCTAGTATCCTCAGTTTATGCAAAACACCTGGAGACAGTGGTTAGCTGATCACTGAGCGAACACATTACATAAAATTGGTGTCTGCACCAAACCTTGTGGGAGTCCATTCTTCCAGGATACCCAGACACTGATTTTGCAGCCCAGCACCAGCTGGAAACATCTACCTCTACAGCTCAATTGCCATTACAAGTCATCTGTGCTCCATCATCCACTTCTGAAGTGTGCAGTTACAGCTGGGAAGCGAAATGGGCTGCTAAAGAGTGATCTTTGCCTGTCACCTTAGACTTCCCAATCTTGGCTATCATATTTGTCTACACGACACGGAACATGAGGATAGACAGCAGAGTTGCAATTCTGGCAAAACACTGTCAAAGCCAAACATTTCCTCTTCACATGCAGCTCAGTGCCTTTCTGTATTCCTTACCTAGAAAATAGTTGGAAACCTCTGTCTTGGTCAAGCTGTGGAAACTGCTTAATTTGATGCCACTTTTTTTTTTTTTTTTGATCAACTCCTTGATAAATTTCTTGGCCAACTTATGTGATATTGGTCATGAGTGGGCCAACACTGTTCAGAAAGTCCTTTGCTGCTGTAGTTTTTATGCTATACTGACTGAGCTACCCGATGAAGATCCATGATTTCTGGCTAGACAGATACATCCTGTTTCTTATGCTGCTCCTTCCCAGAAAGCTCTTTGGGCTGCATTCAGAATCAATTTTGGTGGTGTCTAAGTATTTCTGGATTGCTTGACAGGTTTTATTATTTAAAGGTGCTCTGCACATTCGTCATAGCATACAGGAGTGTTTGGAAAGGCAGCCTTCACTGGTAAATCTTGAGTAAGTAGGAGAAGCACAGCAAGGCCAGGATTGTAATGATCCAGGACTTCAGTGTCTGTTCCAAACAGTAACTATATTTATTACTTACCGGTCTAGGTAATGCTAGATTTGCCCCATACCAGTGGTAAAGGGCTCGCCATACTGGTTCTGGTACCATTATATAATCCCTTCCTTCAACCAGATGTGGAGATTGTTTTAATCTTCCACCTTCCATTGTTAATGATGCAGCCTTCAAAACAGAAAGGCACAAGTTAACAAATCTTAAAGGATAAAAAAGAGTCCACAGCTGCAAAAGATTTTGGCTTCAGGAATATAAGAGAAAGCTTTAATTTTAAAATGCATCCTAGTAAGTGGTAATTAGCCACTATTTTTCACACAGGAACACAACAGTTAAAATGTACTAACAACTCATATTTTAAGGTTTACCACTTCCTTAAAAAAGAAACTCAATATAAAATACCTATAATTTATCTTTCCTTTATTACTACACCTCACTTGGGTTGTTATAATTTCTAATTTTTATTCCATCATTTGCAATGCTTGTTTGCTTTCTGCCTTCTCTAACCAGAAAAGGAAATAAACTGGTAAGTTTAATTTTCAGTATACAGTCAACCTTTTTTCTGGTTTATGTGCATCAGCACAAAGCTGTTAGGGTTCATCTGACAACACTCAGCTAGAAATGAGATGTTAACTGAATGCTATGATCTTTGTTCTTTTGGGCAATTACTAGGCTCACTTTTGCTGCTGGAAAATTGTAACAAAGAGTTACATTCAAACTATTACTTGTTAATTTCCTTAAGTCAGTTACATTTACCTTCACCGGTTCTTGTGTTACAAGAGGCTGGTTATCAATGGCTCCAGGTTTTGATGGATTATGTTGTAGCAGCATATTCCCGTTGGATACAAATAAACACTGGTTATTATTGTCCGAAGTGTTATGTTGCCTAGCAAAACACATATCGGTCCCTGGAGTGATAGAGTAAAGAGTATCTGTAAAGGAAATGGGCAATATGTTTAAGCTGTACCTGGTATACATTAAATAGCTCAGCTAGTAAATAATCTTAATACAGAATTGTATCCTTATCTGAAAAGTTTCCCCTCAAATAGTGCTTAAATTGCAGCAAAGATATGGAAACAAATCCAAATGACTCGATGTGTAATGTACGCATCGGCACCTGCGAAATGGGGAACCGACTGTAAGACAAGTATGCCCAAGTGGGCGCTGGTACACATACATACCAGTCTATATGCAAAATAACTATTTTATGTGGCCAAACACATTTTACACATGCTGTTCTTCTGGACATGTGGATGGTAACCAATTTCTATATTTGATTTTAGTTTTGTGCATACAAAGTGAGAGAGATGGAGGTATGTGCAATAATGCTGCAAATATATTCTTTGTTCTCATCTCCTACATTCCTATAGAAACACTTTGTGGTTGAATAACAGAATACTGGAATAACACTGACTGGTGTTTGGCCTCAATTCACAGGAAGAAACCCCAACAGTTTATTAACTGCAAGGCTTGAATCTGCAAGTGGTTCCATAATGGGGGAAACCCCCTAACCTCACATGACAGTTTGTTATTCTAAAGAATGCAATATTGCCATCCAGAGCTTGGAATACCAGACTAGATTTCAGCTGCCTTAACAAAAGAAAAAATATGTTAAAACACTCCCAACTCTCTCAAGATTACACTACAATCAAGATCCCACAAGTTTTCCTGCTCCTAGAATTTTTTTTTTGCAAAAATATTAATTTCTGTATACAAGAGTGTGTGCGTGCGTGTGCAAACTATACCTCTACAAACCTGTCTTGTCAGGACTATAGTTCACTTGACAGTCCAAAACGCACTTTTACAGTTACCCCACTCTTGGTCCCATTGCAAAGACCACTGACTGAAGGGGGGAAGGAGAAAGAGAAAGCCACCATCTCTGTGGCTCCTAAACAGCACAGCGCAGCTCCACGGATGAGATGTCACACAGAACCGCACTCCCTAAAGACTGCCGACTGGCTAGAGTTACAGAGCAAGGGAGGAACTAAAACTCTATTAAATCTTGCCTCAAAGCTAAATCAGCCTGGCTTTAGAGCTGGCAGAGGGATATGCTTAATCAGAAAGAGACAAATGTGTTCTAGCCTTCACTGTTTTTACTTTAGTTGGAGTCGTATTGGTAACGACACAGTTTTGAAAACATTTGTAACAAATCAGTTCGGTTTTTAGAGGTCCTAAAATTAACAGCATGTTTTTTTTCTGCCTATAGTTTTAATGTTCCTGAGCCTATTTCCTGATTCATTCCCACCCACAGTATCTGAGGTCAGATGGTTGTGCAACATCTGTCCAATGACAGATAAGCAATGAGCTGGAAGCTAGTTCATGTGAGGGAGAAAAATATTTTGGAAAATGACAATGATAGGATGATGGGGAAAAAAACCCCAATGTTAAGAATAACTTGCAAGATAAGCAAAAATGCTTTGTTTAAATGCTTTGCGTGTCCACCACACATTCAAACAAGCTCTTACATCAAACCAATCCATACATGTCATTTTTCTAACTTCAGTTTTGCTATCTTTTAGGCTGCAAAAGCTCATGCGATACTTAGTTCCCTGAAGGCCTATCCTAGATTAAACCTCTATGGAAACAAGATTTTATGCTTACTGCTGCTAGTAGTCTCTGAGGCTTCTGAGGCAGTAGAAATATTATCTGACATTTTTTCTTCTGTGGCACTGAAGTAATTTAGACCTCCCATTTTTTCTTCTCCCTGCTCTGATGCATGGGTTGAAGCAGCTATGACTGCATTCTTACCTCCATTTAAAACAAATGAAGATTCGATCATAACAAGGTTTGCATCCTGAAATTGGAAAGGCAAAGAAAAGAAAAGTGAATTTTAAGCCAATATCAAACTGGAAACTGCAAATCACACAGACACAAAGTTCATATGCTATATTACTTTACACCTTTATTGTTACTTCTAAAAGATCTAAAAAGTGCTTTACGGAAAGTTATTTTCCATTGCTAAATAAATGCCAAGCATAGGCAGGAAACATTCTGAAATCATGGAACTAAGTACTTTTATATTACACTGATGAATCTCATTGAAAACTCTGGAGTAGAAAAGAACACCAATTTTTCTAAGAAACTGAAACGGCAAGCGCTTTTTAAGGAACTCCAGTTATTGCTGATAAACTTTTAATATATAAATTTACAACTGGCTGAAAAAGAAGGGGTCTTTTGGAGTGGTTTGGGAGTCTGGATGGTTAAACACCTTTACAAAGATTGGAAGAAATTAAGTGAATTTAAATTTGTGAAAGAATACTGGAATAGTGAAGAGCACTAGGATGGCATGGGCAGGGGCTATGTCTATTTTCCTTACCCTACAAATCTGATGTCTTTAGATGCTTTCCATTTTGAATGTTTGGTGGTTTTGAATGATTTCAGCTACACTGTAATATCACGAGAGCCTGAGAAAAAAAGCCACCAACTATTGGAACAAGATGGAACTATTTGGGACCATCATGAAAAACTCTGAATAGGAAAAAAGTAGGTGGATGCTTCTTTCTAAGCTTCAAGCCTACAATGGAACTTACTTATGGATTTTGATTGATACTTGTTCAATACAAATGACTTTATTTCAAATAAATTTCAAGAGAACAACTTTTTTGAAAGATATTTGAATGTATTTTAAAGTTTTCCTTCAGTATAAGATCATCCCCACCCTGCAGTAAAGAACAATCTTTTACCAGAAAGAAAACATGGACCTAGATCTAATTCTCAGTGGTAATTTCAAAATAAAAAAGTTCAGCAGAGTGCAGTGCCATCTGCAAACCGCACTGATACTAATCTATAAAATATAATGTTCAGGAACATTTAACTTGATTCCTCACTAGTATACAGAAGAGCTGAGCAAAACTAAACCATGACCGTTTCAAACAAACTGCTTAACTACAAATTTCAACACCACACACTCGCCCAAAATACTTTCCATTAACAATAAGGAAATGTCATGCATGGTAACCCAATTGCAAAAGTCTGTAGACCATCCAGGACAACAATTGGATGCCGTGTTTTGTACTGTCAGGAAGAAAGGAGTGCAAAACAAGCAGTCTCATCCTTTAGGCAAGGTGAAGGTGGAAGGAGGATTCATGGCACCCAAAACCATCTTACTGGTCAATTAAGGTAGTGAACCTGACAATATCTGAAAAAAAAACAAACCAATCTAGTCGAGAATAAGGTGGCAGAGAAATATGGGGAATGATCAGAAGTTAATAGGTACATGGGATGATCTCATATCCTCAAAAAAACACCTCTGCAAAGGACATTACCGGAAAAATGGGGGAAACAGAAGAAATCTCCCAAATCATGGTACATGGGAGTAAGATTTACTGATACTGAAATACTAGGCTTGTCATACGGCAAAATCATCAAATAAACCCAAAAGAAGCATAAAACAGTAATATATTCCAGCCTAGCTGCATAATACTATGCATGACAAATCTTTATATCCAGATCTGAGAGACCCTCCAGAGCTCCTGAATATTTTCTTTACATGGTCGCAAAGTATGGAGGCCTGTAAATCACTGTGCCGTGGAGAGAATCTGAGGTTCTAGAGTTGAGCAAAAGTATTAGGAATAAAATCTTATGTGCCACTAAAAACTCACACTATAACAAGGATCATATCGCCTAGTATCTCAACCGTGCTAAAAACTTCATTAAACCAACATTTCTTCAATTTACTGTGCCTGAAGAACAACTGTAATAAAACCACTAATTAACGTACACATTCCAATTTTTGGATGGTCTTTGGCTATCTGCATTCATAAAGCAAGTCAAACCTTTATTTTTATGGCATTTCCTGTATATTAATATATCCTTTGGAGAAACAGTTTATTTTTCTCTATTGACTGAATTGCTAAAGTTTTATATTCCAGCCTCAACCAAATCTTATGTAGTAAGCATTTTTTCCAACACGAGCTTCAAGCTCGTGAAGCTTTCACTAGCCTGTTTTTATACTGAGTCTTTAAGGAACACTGCTTCATTTAAAATAACTTGGAAAAGTGTTTTTGCCCCAAACCTCAAGAGAAGTCATGTGCTTGGCCTACCTTTCCATCTCAGTTATTTTTTAGGATATTTGTGTAAGTTAAACTACAATCAAACCCTTTATTTAATTAAGAAAAGGCACAGAACAATTTGCGACAAAAATCACATCCATTCTTATAGACTGTAATGTCAAAAGCTAACTTGGTTGTTATATTATTACCAAATGAATCAAGAGGAGGAGGAGGAAGTATATTTACAACAGGGTGTTTTTTATTTAGCAAGATCTTGAAAACAAGCAATGATGGCAAAGAAAACGCAGATGAGTGTGACAGCTTAATGGGATCTTTGTGTAAAGTTAAATATGTGACAATAATTCTGCAAACCAATTGGTGCCTCTGATAAATGGGAGATATTCTAGCACTATTTACTTATCGGCTTATTGATTAGGTAATCATGTTCTTTTCTCTCCTGCTTTATTAACTCATGCACAAATGGAACACCAAAACAGTGAAACATTACTGTGCCAACAGGAACTACTGCTATACTTACATATCTGACATACTCTTTCCACTGCTGCCACCATGACACTGCAATAAGAAACCAATTGTGCCCTGGCTGGAGACCGTATCTGCTTTCCCGTTCTAACCAACCCCTATATAGAAGAATTAAGAAAATAAATATCACCAAAAACATTTAAAACAAATTATAGCAGGAAAAAAAAACCACTCAACATACTAAAATGATGGCTAATCTAGAAACCTGTAAAACCAGATCTGGCACAAAAGTACGTACCTAATAATTTGTCCCTCTTCTTCTGGTGTAGCAGGTCTTAACCCCAAAACTATATGGCACACCTAGACAGAAAGACAGGAGGAGACAACTCTGAACTATGCCAGACTGTGACCAGACAGATCGAGGAGTTTGAAGAAATACATTTATAACAAGTTACTAAACAGAGTATTATAAAGTACTAATTACAAAGCTGTGCATGCACCATTTAGCCAAAGTAAGTATCAACATGGACACCCAAGGGAAAAAGAAACAGGAGGGAGAAACTCAAAATTAAAATGAAGTTTTACCCTTGGAGCAAATAGCTTTATTTGGATTTTGTGGGACTTCCTCTGTCCTGTGCTGACTGACTCGCTGAACAGTCTAAGATAATTTTTTGGTTAGTATTTCAGTTGCTCTGATTAGACAGAGGCTCTGTTTACACTAAGCCAACTTTCCCAAACCGCCACGTTTTGTCCACACCCGTTTGCATCTCATGGCTACATGCAAAGACGTTAACTAGGAAGTGTTGCAGCCCTACTGGCAGCAGCAGCTGGCGCAGTGCCTGCAGCCATTCTTGCACCCCATCTCAGTCTGTGCCTGGGGCTGCACCCCACTAGCCCACACCTAGTTCTGCTACTGGCTCCACTACCTGGTTCTCCCAACAAAGTGGTGTACTCATTCAGGGAGGGCAAAAGCAGCTGAATGAAGCAAAGCAGCAGAAGCCTCACTCTGCTGCAGAGATTGGCATGCAAATACACACAAGGTTTTGCCAGCAAAACTGGAGGGCTACCAGGGTAACTTTATCGTGCAGAACAGACCAAAGGGTCAGATTTGTTTCCCTCTTGGGTGTGGAAGAAACTAGATGGATCCAAATGCTGCCAAACTTGGAGGGGATTCTGTCTGGGCTGAAGGGGATGGAAATATTTTACTCATTCCCCGTTTCTGTGGCTTACACACCTCCTCTCTGCTGGAGTCTCTAGCTGGTTTCTCTCTGTAGTTTTTCCCCCAAGGTCAAACTGCGTTTGCTGGGAGAAGTATATGCATGTACAGAGGAGTATGTGCGTGGGCGCAATACCTGGATTACAGTTTCCCCAGACTTAAGGGAGGGGGCAGGGAAGAGACTGACAGAAGGAGATGGACATGTCTAGCCAGATCAGCTGCTGAGTCTCCAACCCAGTTTTCAGAAGGTGATGGATGATCTCTCCTTACACATCTTTTGAAACAATCAGTTTGAATCTCAGCTGGAGATTTCTAACTCTTGGAAAGGCACCTGATATAAACTGATTTTATACTGCGTGAGACCATTTTATATTCTGAATAAAAACAAAAAGGGCATTAGCTCCTGGGAAGTGACAGATTTCCCAATACCTGCAACACAACTGGCTCCGACAGCAGTTTCTTTTTATATTAAGTACTACACAATGTAGTGCAACCAACTTCCTCAAAATAAAGCCGTTCCTGCAGTTATCAGACCAACTTGCTGAAACTGGATCTAAAGGAAGGGTCAGCAACACAGAGATCCAAGCCCACGGAGCCAGAGGTCTTTGCCTGTGCCCATGAAGTGCACAGCTATGCCAGGGTCAAGCTTCCAACTGCTCCCATGCCACTTCTCCTCGCCTCCCTTACCCCACCCACACCCACCCACCACACATGCACTCCATCTAACAGCACCGATGCAGTTTCCAGCTGCCTGGTACAGATCTCCACTACCTGGAAGCTGCACTTGCTCCCCAGCCAGGGAAATGGGGGGCTGGGATAAATGACAGTGGCAAGGCTGCAGCTCCTGGCTGCCTGGCTCCCGGGGTGCTGCAGGGAAAGCCCCCCACCCCTGATGTGCTGCCGAAGCCATCCAGTTCACGCCAAGTCAGAGCCAGGGTCTTCCAACCCACAGCTTGTTAAAGGTTGCTGGCTGCTTATCTAAAGCCACTGTTCCTAAAAGAGCCAAATGCTTCACACTTCCATAGTAATTTCCTATGTAGCTCCCAAGTATTTCATTAAGAGTGGAATGGACTTTTGCCATTTCACAGATGGGAAACAGAGGCAGAAACAAGCTGAGCAACTGCCCAAGCAAACATCCAAACAAAAAGTGGCAGGGTTAGTGTTCGCGTCCCTAAGCCAAGAAAGCATGCAGGATGGACACTACCTCAGACTATAAGAACATGGTGGCCTCATGGGAAAGAGCGACACAAGGAAAGAAAACAAACTGAACAAACCCCCCTCTTCCCCCCCTACACAGCAGCATCTCCAGAGGGAAGGGGGAAAAGGAGGATGAGAAATTTAACAAGCACTGCAGAACAACTGCAGTTCAAATCACTAAAGGAAAACACATATGCCAAACATTAATTATTTTAATTCTGATATGTCCATATCTTGATTACATATTAATCAAGAAGGTCAGACAGTGTATTCAGTGCTAACCAGGACACAAAAATAAAGACAATGTTTCCTAAAGACACAGTTTAAACAAGAGCTAAAAACATTCTGTAGCTGATGCTATCAAATTACTTGGGAAAGTAACTGTCCCTGATACCTGTGTTTTTACCTATGGTGCCTTTGATGACTTCCAAAAATGGGAAGAGAGTGGGCAGGGGGCATCCACAATATGATTTCAAGTTTACACGGGAATATAAAAGAGATTTCAAAAGAGAGGGGTTGGACTAGCAGCCTAACACTTCCATGGGATCAGTCCCTTCAAGAAGAAATAGGTGCAAATTTAACAAGCATAAGGAAAAATGGTGGTTATTCTGCTGCACCTTAAAAAGGTATGAGAGCTAAATTAGGGCAAATCCTTGTGGCTCCATTACAGAGGATTATGATAACATTATTCACCTCTCAGGACAGTGACTCCTATGGATAACTAGCAGGGAATACAATACAAAGAGCAAAACAACTTTGGAATTTATTTTATTTATTTTCACACAGGATGAAACAACACTACAATGGGTCTGTATTACATTTTGAGGCTATCCCTTGACTGGATTAAAGGAATTCAGTGCACATTTGATCCTCAGCTTCTGAATTCAGGCTTACCTGCACTATGCCAGTGATGTGATACTGCACCTTTCAAGAGCTGCACTACTAATCCACCAATAAAAGCTCTTTAGAAAGCCTTCACAGAAAATGTAAAAGAAAAGTGATTGCAAGCTTTTGCAGCACCTTTTCTCATATCTAGCATCACTTCCTCAGAAATTTGGAAGACTACTTAGATCTGTGAAACATTTTCCAAAAGAACAAAAATCTAACTTCTGTTACACTTCTAAAGTTCTCTTAGTTTTATGTACACTGCTTACATTCATGTCATCAGATTGTGTTTTAATGCCTCGCAGTATACAGAAATGAATAACAACCAAGTAGGGCATCTTTCAGTCAAGGTGATGCACGCTTGCAAAAACACATTTTATTGGAATAGACAAAACCACAAGCATGTTGACACAACGCTGATGCTGCACTTCGTGTCTGCAAAAGAAAAACTGGTGAGTTAATTACCATATTGTTAAGGTTTAAATTTGCACTAAAACATACCTGAAAAAGCAGATTTAAAAATTCATTGGCAAGCGCACTCTTCACACTCCAGATCTGATAGTCCTCAAGGGTGAGATGCCCAATCTAAGTTAAAAGGAGTGAGAAAGAACAAATATCATCAATCTGAACTCATTCCTGTTAAAAACTGCACATAAATCTGTCATACAAGGCATGAAAAGCAGCATCTTGGAAAGGATTAACATTCATCACTGTTCCTATAAAACTTGTTCCGCGAAGGGTAATGATGTTAAGCTGAAACTGGTAATTGTATTTATCTTAGACCAGACACACAAGCAACCCAAGCAAAACAAAAAGTGCTGAGCACATACAGATTGAACCATTGACAGGTTTGAACCTCAGATCCTGTAATATACCCCTTCCCGTTAAGTATATAAAAGCTGCCATAAACTGAAGTATACTAGAAATGGTACGTGGATACTCAGGGTGGCCACTTCATTGAACATGTCTGAGGCTCTGATCTTACAGCAAGTTTTGCACAGATGGGCCCCCTGCATCAGTGAAGAAATCCACTCAATTCAACTGCAGGTTTGGGACTTTAAGATTCGAAAGCAGACTGTTTTCAATAATGTTCTTGTCATCTTCACTTACTGGTTGCTGTGAAAAATTGCTGACAGCATGAAAATAGCCTCTCGGAGTTTACAAAAGGCACTAGGCAAGGATTTTCTTAAGGTGATCTCTTTTATTGGACAAACTACGTAATTGGAACAGAGTTAAGCGAGCTTTCAAATGCAAGACATTCAGTCTGATCACAGGAAACCAGGCACAGCATTGGAAAAACCGGCAGAGGCTTACGGAAATTCTCGGGGTCGTAGACACACAATTAGCAGAAGAAAAGAAGCTGTTTGCCGGGAGATCAGAAGGGAGGAGGGTCACTCTCATCTATCTTGGGTGGACAGAATTCTGGAGTTGGATAAATTACAAAAGTGCCATAAACCAGATATTAAGTTCAGTCCTTGGTTCTTAGTGTCCAGACAGCTCATGGATTTTTGTTCCCAAGTTGGCCTTTTAAAGGTATTAGGTAGATCTCCCTTGACCATGAGGATAGTGAGGTTGGAAAGGGAGTAGAGATAAAGAAGTTGTGGCTGGCTTCCCAGTTTTTCTGAAGTTGTGTGTCAACTACTGAGTATTACAGCCTCAGACCCTGCGAATGCCCCTGGCTTGCTGCCATCAGAGACCTGACAAAGAACATCTTCCATTTGAAAGCTTGTCTAACCTCAATCCCAGCCAGGTAGTTGGTGCAGTAAAAAATATCACCTTAAGAAATCCCTGCCTCTTGCATAATTTCCAGACCATCATGCCATTACTCATTTGTAGTCCATAGATGGCCAATCTTCCTATGTTACCAAGCATGTTAAAATTGCTCTAAATAATAAATGGTAAATCAAAGGATAGACATTTGCATGGCAAATTAGCATCATTTTCCTAATGACTCATTATTTCATAAACAATTTAAGGGAGAAAAGTCCATTTCTTATGACAGACTGACTAGGAATCCAATTGCTGCATTTAAAAACTGCGCTACTATTTTGCAATGTTGGTTCAGTTCCACCTTTCCTTAAGCCTTTGCTGTCAGTAATAGCGACAAACCTCCTTTTAGTGTCAAAATACTTCAGTGATCAAAGCAAAGGTTAAAATAGTTAAAATATTTGCAAATATTTTATTATATTTGGCAACATTACAAAGTATTGCTGGGCAGAGAATAAACATCATAATATCCAGGTGAAAAGTTGAACAAGAATCCAGATAAATACTTAACAATCTGTTTACTTATAGAGACAATGGCCAGCTCTAGAAACATTTTCTAATATTCTATAATTGTCCAATAGGAAGTTTTACAGTCTAATACTTGGATGCAATTGCATAAGGACTTGCACAGTAGCGATAAATTACTAAATCTTTGGTAGCCACCTGTTTTTTCTACAGTTTAGAGGCACAATGACGTAACCTGCAAAGGGCACTTCTATCCAATTATTTCATTAGCATCTCTTTTTAGCACTACTTTTACAATCATAATCTACTGAGACAAGTCCACTCCATACCTATCTCTGCTAAGAAATAAGGCTTTTTTCCGTTTTTGCTAAACCCTAGGGATAAGCTTGCAAGGCCACCTTTCCTGAAGGCGAAACAATAAAAACCTGAACGGATGAGAGGCACATCATTACAGAGGCAATACTTTTTACTCTTACAGTAAAGGAAGTTTCTTTCTACCAAATGGTATGCCTGCAATTTTCTGAAGCGCAGAGAGTCAGGCTATGCAGCTGTTCAAGGAGGCAATCAAGCATTTCTGCTCACTATTGTAACTAGCTTGTAGTTTTTATGAACTTCTTATAACGTTTATTCATTTGGAAGTTATAAGGAAATGAAATAACAGAATCATATTGTGTGTGCTTGCAAGTATTGGGACCATCCTGAACCAATAATGTTATGAACTGCATTTCCAAATGTATATAAAATGGTCTAAAAGCACCACATATGGTATTACTATTTCTAAAATCTGGAAACATTTTATTAACATCTCAGAAAGTCAGGACAAGTGCTGCCAGAATGTTTTCCAACTACTTGATTTGTGACAATACTGCAAGTATGTACTTCATTATACATGAAAATAATATTAGCTTTTCAAAACAGGTCAATTTATCTGCAAAGAGAAATGAAAACACCAGGTTTATTATAGCAGTATTAATCAAATGTAATAAAGTCTAGTATTACCATGATGGTGATTAATTTCTGCTGCTTATCTACTCTGGATTTGATTTTCATATAGAAAGATGGCTTATTAAAGTCAAGTACATACTCTTTCCCTAATGGATAAACCTGGAAAGCTTTAATGAAAAGGTGACATTTTCCTAGAAGGGAATCTTTTATTAAAAACACTCCTAGGCTGAGAAGTTCATTTTCTTTGATTTTATTCATTTCACTTCAACTCTATTTTAAAATACCTTTATGAAAAAACTAAAATATTTCTGGAATTTTTTGTTTGCAAAATAATTCAATTTTTAATTGTGCTCATCTTTTTTTATCATCAAGGGTTCAACCCGCTTCTTAGGAAAGCACCTGTGGAAGAAGAACACCCTACACCCCATAGCTTCCTATTTTCAAGTTCCTATTAAAAAGGTAAAAGGCAAGAACAGCAAATTCTTACCTTTGTGGTGTCATGTGCATTCAAAACGTCTTCCACGATTTCAGATAAATCCTTGTTCAATTCCTTGACAAATGAAGGTATTAGAAAATAAAGTGTTAAATGCATTTAGAGTTATGCCAGGAAATCCAGGCCCAAAAGGACAAAAAAAACCCAAACACCCTGATTTTTCTGACATGTACAGATAAATTTAAATTAGTGTCTTCACACCACTGATATTTTACATTTAAAATGTCTCTGAAACACTAGCAGCGGCAGAAATTGCAAGTGAATAGTTCTACTACAGTTAGTGCCACTGCACTTTTACACAAGGCGCACACTGTTACTGCCTTCCCTCTGTTCACACAGCTCAAGAAAGTCTTGGGGAAACCTGCCTAAATGAAGTTTTGACTGTGAAACTTGAAACTCTTTTTTACGGGCCACTTTAGAAAACAGCAGCAAATAAATTAAAACGCGACTTACAGGTATTTTGTCAGTACGGTTATCTTTCCAGACCTCTAAAAGTGCAACCACCATTTCCTTAAGTTCAGTGCGAGACAAAACACCATCCCGGTCAACATCAAAAACCTTGAAGCAAACTGAGGGGAGGAGGAGAAAAAAAAAAAAGGATTATTTTTGTAGGTCTGAGTCATCCAACAAGCTATGCTCTAAATTGAGCCTCTCACTTCAAAACAAGCTTACAAGCTGAATGCATAAGGTGCGCCCCTGCCCTGCCTACTGCATCTTGTAATCTTCACAGTAGGTCAAAACCTGCACATACCTCAAGGATGCAACCTGATGACAGCTTTGATGCTTCACAAACAAACCCCAAACAAAAATGAAACAAAAATGAAACAAGATTTCTGAGTGAGCAGGTGGGGGAAGGAAAGTTTTTGCTAAACTGAAATCCAGATTCTCTCCGTTCTGCGATGTGTGGGGTGAAATGGCTCGGGATACACATACATGCAGAATCCTACAGTTTTCTAGCGAAATGTCAATCTTTAAGTTACACAGGGTCAACATTTGTTTCAACGGCACTTAGCTGAACCTCAGCCTACAGGCAGTGGAAAGAGTTGGACAGCCAACAAACTGGTCTGTGCTAATTAGAAGAGAAAACAGCAAGTGCATCATTTTTTGAACATCTTGTAGAAAGACCAAATGTTTAATTTGTCCCTATATACTGAGAAACAGAATTTGGAATTACAAATGAATTAATGCAGTTTGTACCTATGAAAAATTTATTAGCAAAATTAAAGTACCAAAAGAACGTCTGGAAAACCAACATAAAATACTTCTCTAAAGGGGTTTCTAGGAGTGTAGTCAGAATAACTCATATGAATATACTGAATTAATAAAGCTTAGCTACAGTTAATAGAATAAAACCTTCATGTTTAAACCTAATTCAAGAGTGTATATTCGAGAGATTTCTCCCCACCTCCTTCTGAAGCCCAGGTTTAAAAACAAAATGTGTAAAATGAACTAAATTTAATTGCTAAAATTGAACAGATGCATTTCTTATAATTAGCAGCTTAATGGACAATATTTTGTACACTCACATTTTTGCCTTTCTGCCAAGGGTCCCCTGCAGCATGCTGAAAGCCCACAGGAAATTTCCTTAAAGTCTATGTGATTGTCACGATTTTCATCAAATGCATTAAACAAACCTACAAACCACAGAAGCGTCACCACACTGAGTCCAACCAAACAAGCCAACAAAAATATTTAGCTTTAATATAAAAGCTTCAGATTTTCCAGCAAGGTAGGAACATTAGGTGACAGTAATTTATTTTTAGTGTCCATGACAAATACCTGAGCATTAATGGCTGCTGACAAAGATGAAAAATTAAAACAACGTAAAAATTCCCCGAAAACCCACAGCTTACCAAAAGACAAAATGTGTAAGTTCAACCTGGCTCCACCGCATCTGTATAGATAGAGCTTTTGACGCTTTAGTGGGGCTTTCTGGCACTTTTATCTAATGGCCGATTCAATCAGCCATTAGATAAAAGTGCCAAAAGCGCCCCACTGAAGCGCTCGAACTATACAGATATTGGGCGAGCCGGGTCCAACTAATGCGCTGTTTTTGTTTTTTATTTTAACATCTGCAAGCAGCCAACATGCTCATTTTGCACGTGGGGAAACCAAGAAAATCAGGTTCAGTGACTTACTCATGGCAAAATAGAGCCAGAAACAAACACCTCCCTAATTCCTGCCCGGCAGCCCGAGTCTCAAACCTGGTGTCTCCCTTGTGTTTAAGACTTACACAAGCATTTTTGTTGCGAGTGTGAGAATAGCTTTAGATTGCATACACTGATAGTTAGGGTCAAACTTCAAGGTTGTCCTGAAGCCCATAGACACTGGTGCCTGTCCAGCTTGATCCTGGAAGCGCTGTTGAACTTCTGGGTACGAGGTTAATCCTAGCTCTGCCCATATCCTTACCCTTTCCTTCTCTGCAGTGTATTTGGAACTTACCTACATGCAATACACCTGGAACATAAGAAGTCACCCAAAAGTTTTCCCACAACCCCTGCCCCTCCCCAGTCCCTGATTTCCTGGCCTTCTGCACCCCGCTCTACTGCATGCAAGAGGCAAATAGGAAAGAGATGCAAGTAGCTTGCATCCCAATTCCCAGACAGACTTGAGAACGGAACCTAGAAACCATCTCAGCATCATGCTGTAAAATAAGCAGCACAATGTGGCCAGCTACTACGTAGGCGACTAGTTCTGGCAGAGATGAAAAAAGGCATAGCAAGTGATTTAGAACGGTTGAGGACAACCTCAAGGTCAGCCCTAAACATCAGTGCAGACACAGAATTAGTTTCCAGGGTGGTCAGGATCAAGTGGTCAGAAAAAGGCCATATTTGTAAAAGGCTTAAAAATGTACCCAGCTGGCTTTCCAAGAGCTGTGTTGAGCCCAACTCCTGCTGAAATCACTAGAGATGTCTGTGCCTCCTTAGGAGCTGTTAAAGATCTGCCATTATGTGAATTAGGTGTCTAAGTTCAATTGGCTTTCAAAAAGACTTAAGCTTCTAAATCCTTAGGTACTTTTGAAAGTCTTTCCCCATCACTAAAAAGGCTAGCCTGGACATTTCAAGTCTCCTATCCACAAAAACAGATACAATACCAACAGAAGCGTTTCAGGCTTTTCTGCCCCAGTCCCAAGTACTACTCCACAACTGGATATGCTGCTTCCAGGACTGAAAAGATAGTTTTGTTGCCGTGGTCCAATTCAGGGAGAGAGCCTCACACGGTATAAATTGTCTGAACTGCATCAGAGCGGAGTTATGACAGTTTATACCCGCTGTGCATCTTTGCCCTATTTTAGTTGCTAATGAGCGTAAGAACAGTTCCAAACAGCAACGACTGGTATTGTTTCAGGGATGTGTATACAGAAGTGGAACACATCCCATTTTACATGGGACACAACGCCCCTACGATGATTCCAATTTTGACGCTAAGCCAATCTAGCAGGAGCTTAAAAGGACTCGCCACCTAGTTCAGAATGGCCTACACCCCAACATACCAGTCTTCCAAGCCAGCCATGTGCTTTTGCTCTCTTCAGCTCTTACTATTAAGGCAGATCTCTTCATTTTATACTAGATTGCAATCTTGCTATACTGGATTTTCACTTTACAAATGAACTGCTATTTGGCATTTAAGAATAAGCATGCCCACATTCCATTCTAAGGAAACGGTAAGGCATCTTCTTATATTAAAAAAAGCTGAATAAAGACAAGGAAGAAACATGAAGGAAATACAGACTAAGTTAAACAGGAAAGATCAAAACGTCTGCCAGCTTTTCCAATAGTTTAGACGGATGCATCTCAGAGGCAGCATTTTTCTTGTCAGTCCAGACTTGTCAACAAACAGATTCACAGAAGCTCTCTCTTGTTTTCAGATATTTAGAGCTTAGAGAAACAAATCCTTTCCCAACATAAGCTTAAACATGAATTAAAAGGATGTTCTACTGGACACTAGTAAACAAATAATGCATCCACAGGAAAGCTTCGAGTAGCATGTGTCTATAAGATCTGTATAAGTATTTTTTGAACACGTAAACCCACACCAACATAACTGCACAAAAGAAAACTTTGAGGATCCATACCTTCACTCAAAGATGGATGTATGGGAGGGGAAACTAAAGGGCCAAAAGTTTCTAAATCAAAACGTCCAGTTCTTGACTGAGCCTTTAGCAGCCAATATCGTTTTTCAAGGTCGATGATGTCTGATTCTTCTACTGTATAAATAAATACAAGTTAAATCTCTAACATTCAAAAACATAAGTCCTTTAAAAAAAAAACATTTATTTTCTGTTAGAATGAAGAAAACGCACACCCAAGTGTCTACATCCATATTAAAATATTAGAATTACAGCATAGCTAGACAGGAACTTCTAAAATATTGTTGAAAAGCCACACGCTGCATCTACAAATACACAAATGCTTTGCACATGTACATTTTTGGCAGTGTAGAGGCAATTTAAAAAGCTGGCACTAGCGCAATAAAAACATGGTGTTTAAAGAGAAACCATTAACGAATTTTATAACAAATTCATGCATATACAAATTAATGTTATTTGTTGCTCTGAAGAAATAAGCTGAATATCAAGTTTCTTCATATGGAGGATCACTGATTGTCTAACCTGTATTCTAAAAATTAAAAAACAAACGTTATAAAATATCATATTATTGGCAGACTTAACTTCAGTCAGCTACTAAGTTCCCTAGAGCTTCTTTTATTATTTTACTTATTTTTTCCCCTTATAGCAGTGACTAACTGGATAGGAAGCTTTTTTTAAATGTTTGCATTTATTTATTTATTTTTTAAATGTTTGTGCTTTTTTTAGGACAGCTCACATTTGGTTATTCAAGTAAGGATGCAAAACAACTGTTTATATACCTGAGTATTTACTCAACATACAAGAAGAGGACATGCCTGCACTGGAGAGGGAAGGTTTGAAAATTTAATGATAAAGCTGGAACAAAGTTCCTATACAGAACACCGTGTAATTAAAAAACTAAGTGATACTATATTCTTTTTTAACGTTGCTTACAGACATTATTAAATGCATTTCCACATTATATGAGTATTTCCACTATAAAATCATTTGTCTTTATTTTCTTCTCTTATTTACTGCTCGCATTATAGCTGTGCCTGGAGAACCTGTCCGCACTGAGGCCTGGAGACCTGGCATGTCCTGGAGCTTCCATGGACAAACTTATCACGAGGAGCTCCCAACTTAATTCAAAAGCAGAAGCAGCAACAAACCGGGGAAGGATGAAAGAAGAAAAAAAAGCCATGAGAACAAGTATTAGGAAAGGCCAAATCTATGCACAGCTAAATTATGTCTCCTCCTTTTAACTGAAAAATTATGAGATGACCGAGTAACCGTGTCAAGTTTCTACTCATCAAGAAAGTTCTAAAAGAAACTGTGGCAAAGACAAAGTGTTTTGAACAAAAAACCATGAACAAAAATTCCACATGCAGCATCTAGAACAGGGGTCTTTCTGCCCACAAAGTAAGACTGCTTAAAAATATGGATTTTCTCCCGAGCATTTCACCCTTGTTTTACATGTACACGTCACGACAGTGCTTTACGTCTGTAAGAATTAAACGTTTCTCAAAGAGATACTTAATAACAAAGCTGTCTATATTAAGAACCACCATGTGTGCTGTGATCTTATTCCCAGATGGTTATGAGCCCTTAAATCCATTCCAGCTTTCTAATAGGTTTAGCTTCAGCTATTTGGCCTGATTTGGACTGCAGAGCAAGACAATGACGCAAGGACTAAAAGCAGAGGATAAATAAAAACACAGGTGGGTTTAATGTTTAAACTTCGTCTCAATTCCTGGCATTTAGTGAACTAATATGGCACAGTGCGGATTCCATTCAGGAGGGTGTTGCCATTGAGGCTGGACATGCAGAGCAAAAAAGTGACACTTTCCACGCCTGTCCTGAAATCCTGAGAAGCAATACAAACATTGCATCAAACTGCTTAAAAATCTATCAGTGCAACTGCCAGCCAGTTTCTGGTTCATCTCTGAGCAAAAGCAGCCGTCAAGTCTTGGGGGAAAAAATATGGAATTAACATGTAAATCTGATTTTTTTGTTTTTAATTTATTTTTGGGTCAGAGTTTAAGGTGAGGCTGGTAATTTGTGCTTCTTGAATAGTACTCTTTTGTGCTGTCTGTCATGCTGAAGAGAAAAGGCTGTTTTATTAAATTTATTCTACCCAGTTCAGTCACATACACAGAAGTAACTTAATTGCATTAAAATTAGTGTGAACAAGTTACAACAGCTCAGCAGGCATGTAATGTTATGCAACGCAAACTACTTGAAGAAGCACCCTTTTCATGTTTGGAGAAATTGCTGGAAGACATTAAAAACTGAAGCAGAGATTGCACTGGTGTCTTTACGTATCTTCCAATAAAACACTTTCTAACAGGAAGTGACTACAAAAATATCGTCATTGAAAATATTCAGTTCCTATTGTCCCCACTGCATAGATAAAACTATTAGTAGGTAAAATGTTCTTGCTTCGTACTTTGAAGCAAATCAAGATGTGCGGGATCTGGATAATGGCTCAGTAATGCCAGACCCCAAACCACAGCTCTTGATCGGTAGACACAGTATTTATAAAAACTCTCACACTTTGTTTTAATGCAGTAATCAAGTCATTGTAAATAAAATAGAAAGAATTAATAGATTAACGGGATATTTTCGACAGGTAAATAGCTCCGGAGTTACAAGACAATCTACTAAAAAAAATTAATAGTTGGAAAATATCCCTCTACTTTGTAACAGCAAAACAATTATATATTTGATATGTATTAAGACCTTGCCAACAAAAAACAGTTACAGTTAACACTGTATTTATACACTTTTGGAGTTCCTTACTGAATATTACAGCTGCATATACTGATTAGCCAGCATTATGCTTTTCGTTTAAAAGTCAAAAGGTCTCAGCTTTCACTTTAGCCAGCGTTAACTTCAATTCATGCTTGCATTATTAAAAACCGAGAATTTCAACATGTGTTCTAAAAACAAATTTACTTTTACCCACCTAATGGTGCAATTCTGTCTGGTTCACAACAGTAGAAGCATACCATATTTCCAGTATTTTAACTAAAGCCTGGTTTGCATTACTGTTCACCATAATATTTTCCATGTAATATCCAGCTCCCATCCATATAAAGAGCTCTTCATCTCCAAATGACTCAATTGCTACGAAAACAGCGGCTGACTGAACAAAAGTATTTTTGTACAAATGCAGTTGTTTGTCATTATCAAATGAACAATTAGAAGATCCTGGAATTTCAGGCAGAGAGATCTGCTTAAAGTGACATACAATGTCCCAGCGACTAAGAGGATAACATGGTGGTGAGATTAAGATTAAACCACAGTAAGGGTTTTCTTGCTTTAATGCTTTCCTCTCTTTTTTATTATTAAGCAAGACAGAATATAAATGTAAAGGAGAATATTCTGCTCTATCCAAGTTCTTCTTACGAGGCCAGTCACCTTAAGAGGCTAACCACTTACCTTGTAAAAGCAAGTGGACATAAAAATTTAACAGATATAAAAAAGGTACTAACTTTAAGACAACCTAGGTAAAATGGTAAGGCACGTGGCAAAAATTTGAAATACAACTGGAGTATGACTATTCAAAGAGTGCAACAGCACAAAGTTAAATATGTATAAAAGTGCTTCTGAATGCAAGCAGCCTCCTTCAGTTGACTGTATGGTGCCCTTTTGTGCATCATTCAGTGCCAGTGGCTACTAAAGCTTCTATACTAACAGAAGACGGAAGGAATTCAATGGTACAAAAATGCAACGATTTACATGGCTAGCCAAAAATAACCAGCCTTGTTAAAAGCTGGGAGTTTATCAGTTTAAAATGACTGAGAAGGGCCAGGGTGTCTAATTTGATCATAAGACAACAGAGCTGCTAAAATATGCAGCCAAGAAAAAGGCAAATACAATGTTAGAGTGGACCAGGTTAGTTCGGGGTTTTTTTCCAGCAGAGACCAGAAAATATTACTGCTGTTGTACAAGAGCCTGATGGGACCACAACAGGAGCTCCAAGTACAGTTCTTGTCCCCAGAGTTCAAGCTATGCGAACTCAAAACAGGAAGAACGTCCTTGCCATTAGATCACCCGGAGACATTGTGGAGGTTTTCAAGAGGTTGAGTAAACACAAGATGGGGAAAATTTCGGAGTAGCAGTCCTGCATTCACACCAGGGGTTGGGCCAACCTCCCTTCAAGCCCTGTGATTTTAAGCCAAAGTAGGGCAGAGAAAGACTACTAGGACAACCTGGAGAACGGAGAGCCCATCGCATGAGAGTCTGGTGTACTGACCATACACAAAACAAAGGCGGAGGGGAGATGCGACTGCTCCCTACTAAAATGTAGGGGGAAAGGGAAAGCGCTAAGAGCTGCAGAACAACGTTGGCACAAGACCAAAAAAATATGCACGAGCTATCAACAAATTCAAGCTTGAATTTCAGAGGTTCCCAACATCAGGGTCTGCAGCAGCCTTCCAAAAGCAGTCGTGCAGGCAAGAAATTTAACCATTAAAGATAGGAGTTTGATCAGTTTATAAAAGAAATTTATGAACCAGGGGCTGGATTCAATAACTCAGGAGATCTCTCCCAGCATGTGCAGCCACACTGCTAACAGTCAAACAAATGTTTTTCACTGATAAATCCCATGTGTTTTGAGAGGAGAAGAATATCAGTAATACTCTCACTGCTGCAATAAAGTACTGAACCACTACAGAGCATTTAAGACCCGAAGTGGCCAAATATATTATTGAAGTACTGTATTATGTCCCAGAGTACCATAAGGAGGTTAAACACTTGGCAGATATTTCAAACTCTTTTCTATACTGGAACGCAGAATGAGTACTAGATTTCGTGACTACTAACACTATTTTATAGATTAAGGTATGTAAACTAAGTTTTAAACAGAAACCTTACTATTATCAAAGAGCAGTAGGTAACAGTGCTAAACAAGGAAAGATTAGGGTCATTTGAACTTGCAGCTAAACTCTATTCTCTCATAATTTATGGTGTCATTTGAACTCCTTGATTTACCTTGCTCAAATGCCTATTACTCTGATATGCCACTCGAACTACTATAAGACAAATAATTAGGCACATATTAGATACCAGACTAAAAACTAAAGTTCTGCAACAATTAAAGTTTTTCTCCTTGCTTTCAAGTGAAATAACTGCCACTGTGGAATATTCATAACTTAAGTGAACTGGAACAAAATTCGATTAAAAATGGCAAATGTGTGCAACTTGCTGTGACTTGAAAATTTCATTTATAATTGTGTGCTGAGAAATATAATTAAAGTCATCTGCATTCCAACATAAATGTTATTTACAAGTGAAAAAATATAATTGTTTTATGTTTCCTTGATGTTTTGGCTCATTAAGCAAAGCTAAATGGAGTCACTGATGCTTTACAATAAAATATTTGCTATCTGTTTCTAAATCAATGTTAATAACTTTCACTATTTTTATCACAGTAATTTTTCATGCCCCTGACACATTATTCAAAAAGTTTAATGAAAAGTAGGGGAGGAGGGTTGAGAAAATGAACAGAAGGCATCCTATTGAATAACAGGTGGGTGGTAACATCGAGTCAATAGATTTAGTAAGGCTCTGTCGTTGGCTCTGGAACAGATTTCCATAAGCAAACATGTATTATATTTGGCTAATGCTCACTTTGTAATCTCCAAAATCAAGTGTCCTACTAAAAGGTACCAAAAAAGTGCATCTTCAGTCATAGAACAACAATTTTCACAGGAGAACTCGCTGCTTTAGATGGGCAACAAGGTTAAAAATTCTGGGTCAAAATAACTTCCTTATCCTGTAGCAAAGATTGAGTTAAAGTTTTGTATGACGTCATTAAAAAAAAATGCCCCGATGCAATTGTCCCCGAAAAGTTCAACCCATCTGTATTTTCATTACTGGTGATTTCAAGCTGTATGATTCCGACGATTACATTTCTATATGACCTTACACCACAAGGGAAATCAACGGCAGCGATATAAAAAAGAAACAGTGCAGATTAGACAGTGGGAGGCAGGATAGTTTACCAAAGACTTTCAGTGCCTTAGCTAAGTTATAGCCAACTTTCCACATTCCTTCTTTGTTGTGCAGTTTATAACCAAGGCGCTGGACAACTAAATTCCCTTGCTCTCATCCACTTGACTGAACTTCATTTGTAAACAACAAAGAAAATACAAAATAAAAAAAAATAGTTTTATCCTGAAACTAACGCACCCTCCTTGTAATTATGTGGATTTCCTAGACTATTAAGTTAACTACAGCTAAACACCATTCCTACACAGCTGTGTATTGCACAGTTTGAGTCACTTTTAGAGAAGCAAAGCTATATGCATTATATTGAGCTAGATGATTCATATTAACATCAATTCCAGTCTTTCAGCTTAATTCTTACAATGCAGCTGAGTATTTAGGAACCTGTTACCGTTATGATTTTTTTTTGTTTGTTTGTTTTGGTTTTTTACAAGGATTTGGTTTTAAATTTCTTTGAATTCTAACACTGAAAGATGCATTTTTTAACTTCTATTAAGGACACATGACAGGGAAAATGGCCCATAAACAAGCTGAATGTAAAAGAACTTAGAATACTGCCAACTACAAAGAGATATTAATTTCCCATTTGCCTTTGTTGTGAGAAAAATGTCTTGATTTCATGAAAACTTACAATTCCTACTGAAATACCCAGTAAAGGTGCTAAATCACAGATCATTTTATGATGCTTTAAAAAGTCTCTTGGCTTCACCAGGGAGTGGAACTTATATAGCTACTGTTAAGAGCACAAGCTACTATGGGATAATCAACAAAGCTTTATATTTTCCCTATGGAAAGTTGAAGACGGGGCTCTCACTTCTTCTCTGGTATTTTTGCATGTAGAGAGGTGCTTTATTATATAAGAATACTGGATAAGGTATAAAACGAAGCCAGAATTACTCTAATACACTACTCTGATTATAAGACAACCCCCAGCAATGAGGTTCTTTATATGGAAAAATTTATAAATTTCATACCATTTTCCAGGCACAGAAACTAATCTTTGGAGATTTGTCTTCAACTTGTCCCCCCTGCCACTGCTACAGCAAAAATAATAAAT